AAAATAAAATAAAATAAAATAAAATAAAATAAAATAAAATAAAATAAAATAAAATAAAATAAGATCAAATCAAATCAAATCAAATCATTTTTTGGCAAACACAAAATAAAACAAACAAAAAACCCAATACAGAATAACAGAAACCTTACCAAACTAAACACTTGACAATGATGAATAACTGTATCACTGAACTCTTGGAAACAAGTGGGCTGGTCCTTCCAAAACTGCCACCGTGTGCTTTTCGAGCCCATCAGCATTCTTCTTCACCCTGGATATGGAGGGAGGAAGCTGAAGACAGCAGGACCTGACCTTGCCCGGGTGTCCTGCCATCCATCAAGCTGATGACCAAACTTCCCCTGTGTAGAATACTGTTGGATAACAATCCTTCACTTAGCCCAGCAGAGCTCTTAGGCTCAGAAGGGGGATGGTGTGGCCCTGTGGCAGCCAAAGGGCAGTGAGGAATTGGGCTAGGTGTGGGCATCTGCTGTGGGTCCCCCAAACGACTCTGTGGACAAAGCACTGCTAATGAATCCCGTTGTCTGGAAAAAGGGCCACCTATATAGGAAGAGGGAAGGGATGATCCGGCAGGAGCCCGTCAAGCCTCACTTTCAAGAGTTTGCTCGCACTTCTGCCCTGCTTGGGCATGGGGAGAAAGGGAGGGGAAGGGGAGGGAAGGGGAGACAGCTGGGAAGAGCCATGCTGTGCAGCATGTGTCATGGAAAGAGTCAGGCCCGAGGCTCATCTGACCTGCAGCTTTTTGTAAGCAGCTTTTTGTCCTGGACCAAATTACACCCCCCTGCCCCCATCCTGCAGCTGCAGCCAAAGGGCATGATCATGTCAGTCTCGCACGGTTATTTTTGCCTATAATTTTATTATGAAAAAATACCAAGCATATGGAAGAATCAGAATTTTACAGTGTGTCTCCACACTCTCCCCTTAGTGCAGACAGCGAACGCTCTTCTTGATACTGCTCATCTTATCATCTTGTTATCTTTGAGGACGTCGATGTCACAGTGTTGAGCTCGGTGCCTAGGACACAGTGCACACCCTTCTGAAAGGTTGGCAAGTGCAGAGCTGACTTTCTCCTCTCCACCCTCTCCAGGACCTTGGTTTTCACAGCCGGATGTCCGAGCACCTGCTGGATGGTGACATGCTTTCTCCCGCCTTGGGTGGAGCCCGCTGGGAGGTGAGTCTGGGTGGTCTAGGCTAGGGCCTCACTTTCTTTGGCAGCTATTTTTAGGGGTGACCCACAGATGACTCTTCCTTGACACTGAGTGGGCTCCTGGACAGCCTCTTCCCTCTAGACACTTGCCTCTGATGGGGCTTCATTTTGCTGCTGTGCATCGCAACATTCCTGCCCTGCCTCCTGTCCATTTATTCATTCAGCAACTGAGGGCAAACCATCTGCCCACCCATTCCCCCGGCTCTGCCGCCCAGCAGCTAGGTCTGCAACTCTCCTTACCAGCCTGTACAGGCTGTACCTTGTGACTGCCCTGCTAGCCCTGCTGGTTCTCCTTTGACCTCTGCATTTTCTTCTTTAGGCTTTGAGGCCCAGTTCTGGTGCCTGCTTGGAGGAGGAGGAGGAGGAGGAGGTGAGTTGTCCCCTCTCTGCTCCCAAGATTCTTACTTTGCTCTTACAGTGTTTTGTCTGTCTCCTCGGCCAGATGTAAGCTGGCCTCCACTCATTAGGGTACAAAAGTGCCTGAAGCATTGCACTAAAGGAGCTTAAGTCATGTCACGGTGATTGTTTTTCTCTTTTGTGGATGGTTAGAAGAGGGATTCTGGCACACCATCTCTGCAGGTTTTAGGGAGCAGCTGGTTTGAGTGGATGGAATCGGTTGGGTGAAACAACAGGATGTTTGGTTTGAACCCAGCCTGGGAGCCCTTAGTGGGACGGGTGCTGGTACATACAGGGTGCACAGTGTTTTCATATTTCATATTCATATTGAAGCCCACACACTCCTTTCAGGCCTGGCTGGCACCTGCCTGGGGGACTTTGGTCAACCCCTGTTAACAGTGCTGAGGACGTAAAGCTGGGATGAGAGCAGTGCTTGGAGCAGGTGCATTTGAGGCCCCTTTGTTTATAAGTGAGCAGGAAGCCACCAGGTGCATAGGGCAGGGTGGGTTCTGTGGCTGTGGCTTGGAGTTAGTAGTCCTCAGCAACCACTGCCTGCAGGCAGTCAACCCCAATAGAGGAAGTTGCAATTCATACTTCAGCCAGCATGTCAGAGTGTGGGTCTCACTAGATGCTCTGGCTGATTGGCCAGCAGTGCCCTGACAGGGCTCAGCCTGCAGCTCTCCCATCTTCAAGGGTATAGAAGGGTGGAGCTGCAGGAGGGTGCAGCAGCCACTTCACAGTGTGGGCAGAACCACAGGTGCAGTCCTCCTTGTGGTCCTCTGGGACTCTAGCCACCTCTCTTCTGCTCTGATCTCTCCCTAGGAACATGGAGGGCCTTGGAATTAAACTACCTTAGGTTTTGTTTATGTCAAGGAATATAGCTTAGTGGTAAGAGCACTGGCCTCACATATGTGAGCCCCTGGATTCCATCCCCAGTAGGGGAAGAAAATTATGCAGCTTCAGATGTAAGTAACATACAATAAACTGCATGTTTAAAGAGAAAAATTTGGGGCTGGGGAGATGTTCTTCCAGAGATCCTGAGTTCAATTCCCAGCAACCACATGGTGGCTCACAACCTTCTAGTGAGACCTGGCGCCCTCTCCTGCCCTGCTGGCACACATGCAAGCAGAAACCTGTATAAATAATAAATAAGTAATCTTTTTAAAAAGTAAAGAGAAAAATTTGATACATTTTACCGCATGTATTCCTTTGAAACTGTCATCACAAGCTAACACCTCCCCCCCTTCCGTGTAAGGCTTTAAATTTGCTAGGCAAGTGTCTTACCATTTAGCTACACCTTGGCACCCTAGACCCTGTGATTAAAGAATAACCCTCTAAGTTATCCAGGCTTGTCTCAAACTTGCAATCCTCCTGCTTCCACCTTGGGACTAGATCTTGAAAGCAAAACTCAGGAGCTGAGGTAAGGCTGGGGTCCTGAGTAGTGTTAGGCCAGAGGCTTAACCAGTGCTTGTTTTGCTCCCCTTTCTGACAAGTGCCACCACACCATGTTCTTTATGGGGTTCTTCCTTCCTTTTCTGGGACAAAAGTTCTAGGGAGCAAGTCCAACTATTCAGAAAACCCACTGTCTGGTTTTTTCCCAAGTCATTCCTTCTCCTCTGTCAGGAAGCTACTGCTTCAGTTTGTTGCAAAAGTACAGGACATGAAGCAAGAAGGAGCCAGACAGAATGGTGTGGTCCTTGGCTAGCTCCAGCCTGCCTCTCTGTCCTCACGGTCCCATAGTCTTTTGTGGCTTTGGTCTCACTTCAAGGTTTTATTACAATCATCTTGCTTTGTCACTTACATTTTAGTTTGTGAAGCGCAGTTACTGGTCTATGTGATCTCTGTTTTCTAAGAAAGTAGAGAACAAGAGGATGACCTTGGTGGTTTGTAGGGAAGATGCATGGTGAGCAGAACGCTAGAAGGAGAATGAGGTGGGGTGAGGAGGCTGTGTTTGCCTGTCTGTGTGTAGGCTCTGCCCAGGCTGATGCAATGAGGAGAGGCAGCCCTGGCGAGGAGCCCTTCTGTTTCAGGCTCCAAGAGGAACCCACAGATGGCATTGCTAGCACTAATGTAATTTGGGGGAGCTGGGTTTTAGTGCAAGCCCTGCCCTTCCTTATCCACCCAGATGTCAGAGTCAGATGCAACTGCAGGGGTTCAAGCTGCCAGAGGAGAAGTGTGTGTGTGTGTGTGTGTGTGTGTGTTTGTGAAGGGGACACAGGGCTGGGACCCCACTGTGGAAGGCAGAGTGATCTGTCTCCTGTCCCACCTCTCAGTGACTCTTGAATCGTAGAGCAGACGGTGCTCTTGTCAGGGGGCCCTCTCCTAGAGTGGGGCCTGGTGCTGGCACTGGGCTTTTCTTTTCTATCTGTCAGGACTGAGGGGGAGGATGGGGGAGGGGCTGGCACTGCAGCCTGTCTTCCTAAGGCAGAAGTTGTGCTTATGTGCAGGACATTTCACCCTTACTGAAGCCCTGGGGGCCATGCTTTACCCTGCCATAGTTCAGGGGAGGAGGCACCTGCTGGCAGGATATTCTGGAACAAAGAGTGGATCCCAGGCTGACTTCACAACTTCATTTCTTTGCAAATTATTTGAAGACATAAAAATATTGCTTAAAAACAAAAAACAAAAAACACCAGCTTTCTAAATTTGCCTGGATACCCAAGATGTGAATACGATTTGGGGGTTTGTTTTCAAGTACCAGACTTGGGAAGCAGGGAAGCTCATTGTCTGCTGATGGGGATTCATGTCCTGGAATGGAGCAGTAAGGGATGTTGCTGTCTCCCTCCCAGAGTCACATGGTGCTCTCCAGTTTGGAGCATAGCCTCCCCTGTTTCACCTGGTGCTTCAGAATTCTTCCCTCCTGGTGTGCTTTCCCACCGCCTTTCATGTTGGCACCCCTGTAGCACGGTCCTGCTGACCCAGGCCTTGGCAAATTTAGGGTGTTCACGGAGACCGCTGCCTTCTCTCTGCAGCTAGCAGTGCCGGCGGCAGGCGAGGCTCCTGGGGTTGTGTCCCACCTCCCCCACCCCGGGCTTCAGGCTCCTATCTGTGTGTGCAGGAACTATGTGTACTCATCTCCTGTTCCAGCTGTGCATCGTGGGCTTAGCTAGAGCTTAGGAAGCAGCGATCTACAGCAGACAGACCTGTCCTGTGTCCCAGCGGCCCCTGTGAGATATCTCAGCACGCCTGCTGAGCATTTAGCTTGGCAGGAGAAGAGACCCTTGCGGTACAGAGCCCCCTGATGCACTTCTTATCTTCCCTGGCTTCTTGCTTGCAGGCCCAGGGGTCAGGCCACGAAGAGCAAGATGACAGCGAGCTCAGCAGAGTGGAGCCGCAGAGCAAGCATTCCCAAGTCTCTGGGAGGTATAGCAGGAGGCTGCCTCAGGGACCGAAGGCATCATGTGTCTCAGGGGGGTGTGGGCGTGGGTAGAATTCCTGGTCCTTATGGTTCGCACCAGCTTAGTACGCCCTCACCGGAAGACAGACGGTGCCCTGGCTAGCTGGCAGTGCAAGGTGTGTGTATATGTGGTGGGGTGGGGTGGGGTGGGGGTGTGGGGTGGGGGAGTGGGAGGTGGGAGGATGAACCCTGTCTGTGGTGGTGTACTGGGACGGGAGTGTGAAGTATCGCTTGGCAGGACTTCGCACACGGCCCTGTGGAGAGTCCAGGGCTCCATCCTCCTTATTGGATTGCGTTGATTAAGCTGTGTGCATCTGGTCGTGTGCCAGGGCTGACGTGGCCTTTTGGAGGTCTGGAGAGCCGTGTTCTTCGGTACCAAAGCTCAGCGTTCTGAGCCAAGGTTCTTCCCATGATGGTGGAGTTGGCTGTGCAGACTGTGTCTGCGCATGTGTGTGTCATATGTGTGTGTGTGTTTTCCTCTGGCCTCACCCCATGAAAGGAGGAGGGCAAGAAAATGAAGGGCAGTAGTCCTCTTCTTCTTGGATCTGAGAAAGTGGTCTGCAGTCTTCCTTCGATGTATTCAGTAAGGCTTCCTGCACTGGGTATTGTCTGACCATCTGTATCTGGCATCTCCTTTCCCCGTTTATTTTCATATTTTAGATTTATTTTATATGTGTGAATGTTTTGCCTGCATGTATGACTGTGTACCACGTGTGTGCCGGGTGCCTAAGGAGGTCAGAAGAGGATATTGGATTCCCTGGAACTAGAGTTACAGATGGTTGTGGGTACTGGGGATTGAACCTGAGTTTTCTGTAATAACAGTGAGTCATTTTTCCAACCTTTCCCTTCCCATTTTTAAACAAAACCTATTTGATTTCTAAGTGTGTGTGTGTCTGTGTTTATGTTTGTGCATGCATGTGCATTCATGAATGTGAGTGTACACAAAGGCCAGAGGTGTTAGAAACTCTGGAGCTGAAATAACAGGCAGTTGTGAGCCATCTGACATGGGTGCTGGGAATCGAACTCAGGTCCTTGGAAGAGCAGTACATGCTCTCAACCACTGAACCATCTCTCCAGCCCTTCTTTCCCCATTTTCCCTTGATTCTTTCATCCATCCCAGGCTCCAGTGATGTTGAATTCCGAGAATGGACATATCTGTGAAGGTGCTCAGCCGCTGGGCCAGGCAAATGCAGCAGGGCGCTGAGAGCACAGCTGTAACCCTGCAGGATGGAGCTGGGAAGGAGGAGGCTCTCCTGCTGCATGTGTGGCTGCTGTGTCTGGGCTCTCTGTGGGTGCGGGGGCGGCAACTCCTGTCTAGCTAAGGGGGACCAGTGCACACTGTACTTACGCACTCTGTGTTCTCTTCTTGCTTTCCAAGTAGAGACCTAACCTTGCTCCTCTGGCTGACCTGACCAGGTTTTCTTTCCCATTTCTGCCTAGGGAGCGGCTCCAGAGTACCCTTCACAGCCAAGCTGCTGAGGAAGGGCCTCTGCAGACCCTGGAGGGGCAACCTGAGTGGAAGGAAGCAGAGGAGCCTGGGAAGAACTCTGTAGCCACCCCCACTCCACTGTCCCTCGTCCAGAGGTAAGGCTGAGGAAGAAGGGTCCCTGGGGTTGATGGCCCCTCCATGTGTCATTGTGATAGTGGGGAACAGTGGGCCTGGAGATGGGGTGTGAGCTGTTGGAGATGCTACAGCCAAAGCAACAGGAGCAGAGAAGCAGAAGCTGGCTGGGGGTGGCGAATCTGTTTCTTCATAGCCCTCAGCCTTCAGCTGAAATTAGGGTAGCCAGCCTGATTAGGGGAGCTCCTAGGAACTCTTGAATAAGTGTGTGCCTTTTGCCGGGGCGGACTATGCCATTGCCCTGGCTACTCCATTCCTGCTGGGGTCCCCTTTCAGCTCCCTTCTCAGCAGCCTCTCCCTGCCAGGCACTAGTCTACACAACTGAGCTGGAGCACTGCTTTCTCCGAGGCCCAGCCAGAGGGCAGTACAGAGTCCCAGGACCTCCTGAAGCCACATGGAGGGACCTTTCTGTCCCAGCTTGGTCTAGAGCCCAGGGTGTCTTTCCCAGTGCCTCTGGTTCCTGGCAAGAGGAAGATGTTGGTCTTAAGATTCACACAGTTGGGATGAGCCACAGGGGAAGCCTAGCTATAGCAGTGTTCAATCAACAGCATCTGTGGAACACTTGTTGTGTGCAAAGTTTCTTGGGTGATGGGACCATCTCTCTTCCCCTGCCTGTGGGAAGGCCTGGTCTTCAAATGACCTGAGAAGAGACTGGGAGGGAGGGGGACTGGGGAGTGAGGCAGAGAAGTTTCCCTGGGGCTGCCCTGCTTGTCACAGTTTTTTGGTCCCTGTAGGGTGTAAGTTGAGCCCTTCCGTTCTGGCTCTAACACAGTTGCTTCTTTATTACTTGCAAGGGAGCAGGTTCTGAGCCCACCTGCTTTCCCTGAGAGGGCTGAGGAAAAACACTCCCAGGCCGAGGAGCTGGGCCTTGGGCAGCAAGAGGCCAAGGAGCCCGAGGAGAAGGTGGCAGTCAGTCCCACCTCACCTGTCTCTCCAGAGGCGTAAGGGCCAGTTTTATGTGTCTGTCCTGTCTTCCAGTGTATGGTTTGCTCGAATGCCCATTCCCCTTGAGTGCTGGCAAGAAATGGAACAAAGGGTAAATGCATCCTTGGTGCTCCGTGCTCAGCTTTGAGAGCTCCACCGGCCATCACTGACCCTTGCCTAGGCTTAGTTCAGGTCATTGGAGTACCTGACCCGGACCTAAGGTCTGAGGGTGGGTGAAGGGAACCCGTGGCTCATTAACAAGAACCAGGAGAAGCATGCTCTGCCCTCCAAGCACGAGTTTTCTCTTAAAACAAATGTGAAATGTTTTAGAAAGGAAACAGGGGCTTGGGGTTGGGTTGGGGATTTGCTGGCGAGTCAGAGTAGGTGGATTTGCTCTCTGGAGCCCTTAGGTAGCTCTGCTAGGCTCTGGGGTTTGCTTGTTTCCCCAGGTGAATGAGGGCTACAAAGGACCCAGGGCTGTTGAGCAGACAGTTTTTCTGCTGCTGACTCACAGCGAGCCGCCCAGGCCACTAAGCTTGTCACCTAACCCTGCTGGAGTCACATGGGAATGCAGCAGCCGCATTCTTTTTCAGAGAGCGAGCTGCCCTAGAGTGACAAACATGTGGCTTTCTCAGGTCTCCAGGGAGCTTGCTGTTCACGAGGACAGGAGCTGAGTGTGACTCGGAGAGAGGAAGAACTAGGCAGAGGTCAAGGGCTGGTCCCAGCCCGTCTGTGGGGAGGCCCAGTTAGGTTCCTCTCCAGACACCTTGGCTGCACATGCCCCGATTTCATGTTCCTTCTTGTCTGGGTGATGTTGTCCCTTCTGGGGTCTCCAGACCCTTGGCTGACTCTTTAGGATCAATGTGTCCCCACCCTTAGGAGATACCTGCTTTGCTCTTCTTGAGTCTTTTCCAGTAGGAATCGGTTGGTTTACAGAGTGGTATGGAAAGTTCGACATCTGCCAGCCAAGTCTGGAGGGTTAGGTGGCAGACCTCATGACGCCTGCATCTTTTGTGAGTGTTTGCGGAGTAGTAAATGGACCCAAGCCACCGGCTGCCCACATAGCTGAGTGGCAGAGCAGTTGTTTTCCTAGCATTTGCAAGGTCCTAGTTAGATCCCCAGTACTACTGTAGAGAGTGGGGTGTGTGTGATCTGGCTCTCTAGCTTAGCAGTAGTACCCTCCACCAACACACACTTTGGAATGCTCCTGGGGATCACCTCTTCCTCCCTGCTTTCCCACTCTGCCTACCTCTGTGTGTCTCTGAGCTACTTGGCCAGCCTGAAATGACTAGGCTCCCTGGTGCCTCCCATGACTGGAAACTAGGTCTCACGGAGGCTGATACCTGAACGGTTTGGCCTGAAACCAGACCTATTTCTCCTTCCAGAGCCCTCAGCTTCTAGTTAGATCTTTCAGGCATCATTCAGTGCTTTAGAGCTAAGCAAGGTGTTCAAGTCTTTCAAGCAGGGAGGCAGGAAACAGCCTCATCTGCCCATGTGTCAGGTGTGCAGGCAGGTTCACTGGTGTGTATAGCCCGGGCACGTGTGGCTGATGTCTCATCTTCCTGCAGCATCTGTCCCCAGGGCTCCTCATAGCTGTGCAGCCCACAGGGGAGACAGACATTAAAAGGTACCGTCACTGGGAAAAAAAGATGCTTTCTGCCAAGGCTGGAAATGAGTTGGAGGGTTGATGAGGCAGAGAGCTGGGAGGGGAGGCTCTCGTGGAGGGCGGTATTCTCAGGGGAGGTGGCAGCCATGTTGCTATATCTGCCGTCAGCTGGGCTGTGTCAGAGGACTTGGAGGAAGCCAGGATGTGGAAGGAGGGAAGGGACGGAGCTAGGAGCAGAGAATCCATAGTGTGCGTGGTTTAGGGTTGTTTCCTGAGTTCTGAATTTAGGAATAGGGAGGGACGGGTCTTGATGGTATTTAAGGCATGTCACTGGCTTTCTCTTTCTCTCACTAGTCTCTGTGGGCTGCTGGGGGATTCTTCACCTTGTTCTCTTCTGCCATTCCAGTCTGTCCCCTCCTGCTGCCTTCCATCTGCCTCACTGCTGAGCTGGAGGGAGGGTGTCAGGGCTTTCATTCAGGCTGGCCAGCTCCCCTGTTTGACTTTCAAGTGTTCCTGCTGGATGGAGCCATGGCCAGCCTATAGTTCACGAGCATTGCTCAAGAAGAGTGTTTCCGCACTGAGACCAGTTGGAATGTGAGGCTCAGGGACCCAGGGATGCATGTACCTCCTGGCCTTTAAGGAAGTAAAATATTTTATCCTGATCCCGCTTTCATGGCTCACAGTTGTCACTGGTATTTCGATATTTTCTTTAGTCCTCAAGACTCTCTAGAGCAGTGGCTCTCAACCTTCTCAATGCTGCAACCCTTTAATACTGTCATTCATGTTCTGGTGACCCCTCCTTCCTCCCCACCATAAAATTACTTTGTTGCTACTTCATAACTGTAGTTTTGCTGCTGTTATGAATCATAATGTAAATGTCTGATATTCAGGTTATCTGTTATACAACCCCCAAAAGGGTCGTGATGCATAGGTTGAACTTCTGCCCTAGACACACAGTAAACTTATACCACTGTCTTCTTCTTAACTGTTCTTGTGGCTAGATCAGAGTTTCTCATCCATTTCCAGACACTAATTTAACCCTGAGCCGATGAAAGCCCTCTGCCATGTTTGGCTCAGGGATGCACCTGGCTCCTTTGGCAGCAAGGCAGGGAACTTTGTAGCTTCTTCTGCATTGCCGTGGTCTCTGATTGGTTTGAGAGGCAGAGAACAGACTCTGGGACCAGTTTCTGGAATGAGCCTTCACCTGCAGGCAGAATTACAGTGGGGACATGGAGACCAGGACTGTGATCCATTCTGTGTGTGTGGGTGTGTGTGTGTGTGTGAGCCTCTGAGGGACAGAACTTCATTCTCTTCTCTGCCAGTTCTGGAGCCATAGCTTCAGGGCTTGACCTCTCAGGCCACAGCCTCCCAGGGCTGTCTTCTCCTAGGACCCCAGACCTTATCCAGTCAATGGAGCTCACACCACAGGATAGGTGCTCACGGTGTTCTACTGCCAGCCCCTGTGTGACCTGTTTGTGGGCTCTCCACTAGAGATTTGGTGTGATGTTCTGTAGCTGTGGGACCTCCGTGGGTACCAATGCTGCAGTGGTAAGCTGCCCCTCCCCCATACAGGCAAACTGCAGAGCCTGAAACTCCCCAAAAGCAGTTCTCAGAGGCTATACTGAAGGCCATGGAGGAGGCAGTGACCCAGGAACCAGAGGAAGACCAGAGGCTGCTGCTAGACCTGCAGAAAGAGAAGCAGCAGCAGCAGCGGGAAGAGAGGCTGTGGCAAGAGGAGGAGGAGGAGGTGCTCAGGCTCTACCGGCAGAAGGAGAAGTCCCTCAGGTCTGCTTCCTCCCCGTGGAGGGGCGTGGGAGGGAAGGTCACCCTTTTCCTGTGCTCACCCCTCTGGGATGCCCACAGCCTCACCAAAGTGGTTCCTAGAAACCTTACCCAGAAACTTCTGCTGGTATCTCGTCTGGCCTGGTTCCTTTGGTGACAAGGGAGACTGGAAAGGTGGTCCTTTAGCCAGCTGGGCTCTGCTCAGAAGAAAAGGGCAAAGGGCTACTATAAGCAGCATGTCACAGCCTGAGGCCAGGAAAGGTGGTGCTTCAGAAACACGTTAACATACTTTGTTAACTTGACAGTTTAATGCCAAATCTTGTTCTTTTAGACTTAACATCCAAGAGTACTTGAGAGTTAGTATTTTTAGACCATAGATAGCAAAACTATGCTTACTTTTGAGGAAACAAAGCAAACAAACAAACAAACAAACAAACAAATCGACACCTGAATAGTGGGAGGTCAGGTTCAATCTCTCATTGAAACTCAGCTCAACCCAGGGTCTCTGACCCAGGGTCTACCCTCCGTCATACCTTCTTGTGTCCCTGAAGACTATCCTCTTCATGCCAACTAAAGGTCAGGGTGGAGCCAAACAGCTTACCTTAAAGTGCAGCCTCTGCAGCGACCCTGAGGCTTCTCCTGATAGCTCTGAGTTTGTGATGGGGACCAGGATACAGGCAGTATCTGCCCCAGGGCCTAAAACATGGTAATTGCCCCATAAGTGGCATTTCTTGTTTAGCCAGTCATGACTTGGTGATTTCTCTGTGGGTAAGAGTTTTGCCTGGAGAGATGGCTCAGTGGTTAAGAGCACTGTCCGCTCTTCCAGAGGCCCTGAGTTCAATTCCCAGAAACCACATGGTGGCTCCCAACTATCTATACTGGCATCTGATGCCCTCTTCTGGCATGCAGGTGTACATGAAGTTAGAGCACTAATAAAATAAAGTATATACATAAATCTTAAAAAAAAAAAAAAAAAGAAAAAAAAGTGTCTTGCCTGGCTCTCCCTTGAAGCCATTCACCACAAGACACTTGTTTCCCTTTCCACGTAAACTTTTCTGGGTGTGGGTGCTCCTTCTTGATGCTCAATGGGAAGACAGGCAGGCTCTTGCCCTTTTGTTTTCTTAGGTATAAAATGGAGAGCTTGAATTGCTCTAAATTCCCTGTCAGCCCCGCATTCAGTGCTGGCTGTGTAAACTTTGCCCCAGAAAAGAGGACAGGGCTTTTGGGGAGTCCAAAAAGGAAGGGTTTACACTTTGCTTAGGTTCCCCCCCCTGCCTCATTACAGAGGAAAGCAGTGGCATAAATAGCTTGAAATAGGAAATAATCCTAAGTCTGTTTGGGGTCTGGAATTCACTACAGACCTTTGCAAGGAGATTGTCTTCTGAATCATGTTTTTCTTAGGGTTGGGCATCCTGGACGCACTGCACACATCCCCTAGTGTTGCGGGCTCTCCGTAAAGAGTTACCCAAGAAAGATGTAGTTTGTAAAAGCAGAAGTAGATTTGCAGCAGGTTAAACGATGGGTATCATTGATGAGATGAAGGTGCCTTTCGTAGACATTTAAGGCTTGCTTCCAGTTTGGGGCTAGAAGATACTGCACAGACCCAGCACTTTGACTGAACACCATTTTATGTCAGTTACTACATTCAGTCAGTGCTTGATACAAAGGACTCAAGGGCAGTGTCACTAGCCAGCTGTGGTGGTGTAAGCCCATGACACCTGGGAGGTGAAGGCAGAAGGATCAGGAGTTAAGACCACTTTTGGCTACATAGCCAGTCTGAAGCCAGCCTAGGCTACGTGAGACCCTGTCTCTCCCTCAAAAGGAGGCAGGATAGTTGCTCAGCAGAAATTCCATGTCTTGCAAGGAAAGCAGATATAACAGATTAGTTATAAGGTGCCGTGATGCCTGGCAGAAGGCAGCGTATGCCAGGAAAGGCCCACGTGCAGATTGTGAGGGGAAATGTGGATAGATGAACTTGTGTGCTGGGCAATGAATATGGTTTTTGTCAGATAGAAAAATGGAATTCTTGGCTGAAGAACCAGCACGAGCAATGGGCAAGGGGGAAAGAAAAGGGTGGTGAATTCTGGAGACAGCGATGCATCTGGTGTGCCTGGGATAGGGTCTAATGACTGAGGAGTGGGAGGTGGCTCTAGAGATTGGCTGGGGTGGTTGTAACCTTCCTTGAGTAGATACCACGTGCAGGAGGATAACCTGTAGGTTTAAAGGAGCCTGGGACCAAGGAGCCTGCCATGGCTGCCAGTCTTCCTGTGGCAGAGGTCTATGAGGAACCAACACGGATAAGAGGTTGACTCATCTCTAATACTAAGGGTGGTTTACAGATAGGCCACGAGGCTCTTAGAGAATGAATGAAATGGGTCCTGAATACAAGAATGACCTCTGTGGTCTCGCTCACCGTCCTACCTTTCCTTTTTCCCTTAGCCTCCTGAAGGCACAGCTACAGAAAGCTGCCGAGGAGGAGGAGGAGGACGAGGAAGAGGAGGAGGAAGAGGAGGAAGAAGAGGAAGAAGAGGAGGAGGACAAAGAGGAGATTCAGATCAGAGAGGAAGAAAGCCAGAGGCTGGCCCACCTCCGGGCCCAGGTGCAGTCCAGTACAGAAGCATTTGAGAACCAAATCAGGTGAGTCCATACTAAGAGCTGCCTGGCCTGAGGACCTGAGTGCATGGGCCTGATATCCCCCATTCCATTCTGTCTGTCCAGAGCCGAGCAAGCGGCTGCCCTGCAGAGGCTTCGAGAAGAGGCAGAGGCCCTCCAGAAGGCTGAAAGAGCCAGCTTGGAACAGAAAAGCAGGAGGGCGCTGGAGCAGCTGAGGGAGCAGCTGGAGGCTGAGGAGAGGAGTGCCCAGGCGGCCTTGAGAGCGGAGAAGGAGGCAGACAAGGAGGTGGTTCTCCAGCAGCTGAGGGAGCAGCTGGAGGCCGAGGAGAGGAGTGCCCAGGCTGCCTTGAGAGCAGAGAAGGAGGCAGAGAAGGAGGTGGTTCTGCGGCAGCTGAGGGAGCAGCTGGAAGGGGAGAGGAAAGAAGTGAGTGAGCGAGCGAAGTGCCTTGACACAAGCATGCAGAGCTTGAGAGGGATTAGCTCCAGATGGGGGTGCAGAGAGGGGAGCTCTCTCTACTAAGGGCTGGAGCTGGCCCTCATCTCTGAGGCAGACATACAGGGAGGTATCCTGTGAATTTGGGGAGCTTTCGCTATCGAGCTTTGGTCATAGCAGAGGACTTGGCACGAAGGTGTGCCCCTGTTCCCAGCAGACGGCTGCGGTTTACTCCTGTCCCTGATTTCTCTGGAATAAGAGACTAGCATCTGGCGCGGGTTTCTCCTTGCCCTTTTCCTTCTAGCCTCACATCAGCCTCCATATTAAATACCAAAGTAACAGGCCACAGAGAACTTTTCTCTTGGTGAAAGAACTGTTAGACACCGAATGATCTCGAGCATCTACTTAGGCCTCCATCTGACCTGGCTCTTATTCATAGCTGTGGGTTTGTGCATGTACCTGTGGCCTTGTTGTGAGTCAGGGTGGAAGCAGTGGCCTGAGGCGAACTGAAAGGACCCTCTACACTGGCCTTGTTTTAAAGTCTGCCAGCTGCAGACTTTAGGGGCTGAGTTGATTTAAAACAAAAGCATCCCTGTGAGTCTGCTGGGCCCCTTATCTCCAAAGGACAAGGTGGTCTTCTGAACTCAGCCTTCCCATGGTCAGTACCTGGCCAGCACCCTGCCCCACTTCTCTCATAGGCTCTCTGCTTCTCCTCAGGCAGTGGCAGGCCTAGAGAAAGAGCACAGCGCTGAGCTGGAGCGGCTCTGTTCCTCACTGGAGGCCAAGCATCGAGAGGTGAGAAGAGGGCAGGGCGGCCTGGTCTGATGGGCAGAGCCTGGACCCTCAGGCCCTTTTCGTGCTGGGTGGCACAGGAGTTCAGCCCTAGCCTTGGTCAGTTGGGAGTGACCTTACTCCCCAGCCAGGATGCTGGGATAGGTGCTGAATCCCTACATGGTGGCTCCAGTTCTGTGGGCCACATTCCAGTGTATACACTGGCATCTCCTTAGGTGGTCTCCAGCCTCCAGAAGAAGATAGAGGGAGCTCAGCAGAAAGAAGAGGCCCAGTTACAGGAGAGCCTTGGGTGGGCAGAGCAGAGAGCTCACCAGAAGGTTCATCAGGTGTTTGAGTATGAGCAGGAGGTGAGTGCTGTTCAGTGTCAGCTCTGCTAAGGTCTGCTGGACCATAGCCTGAGTGGCCTCTACTCCCTCAGGGCCAGGGCCTTTGCTACTCCTAGGCCTCTGTATGCCCGTAGGGACGGGTATCGGTAATAGTTGTATGCATGTTCTGTGCTGTGCTGTGCTGTGCTGTGTGTGTGTGTGTGTGTGTTGGGGACATTTCATGTGTAAGATCTTCAGGTCCCCAGACCTGTCTATTCTCAGTTCTACAAGTTGTGTTACTTCTGTCCTCTTACAGCTCAGCAGCCTCCTTCGAGACAAGCGCCAGGAGGTAGAGAGGGAACATGAGAGGAGGATGGACAAGATGAAGGAGGAGCACCGGCAAGTGATGGCTGAAGCCAGAGAGCGATATGAAGCTGAGGTATCCTCCTCATCCAGCACACAGAAACATAGGCACACCAGCTGGGGTCCTTCCCTGCTGGCTGCCAGGTGTGGGGAGAGGATGAGGTCTGGAAAAGGGTTAGGGGAGACTTAACTTCTCTGACACCCTGCAATAACAAGGTCATTGCTTGGCGTTTTTTTCTGAAGCAGGAGAAACCCCTATATCCCAGTGAGGGGTGCTCGTTCCCCGACTTTGGCTGTACTTCTTAAATCATAATGATTGTTGATGGATACCAAGGTTCTGCTAGGTCCCAGGTGCTTTTCTGAGCTCCGTCCTACTGCATGCAATCCTGTGGCGACCTTGTGATTGTGTGCTGGATCTTCAGTTTGGAGACCAGGGCACTGAGACCAGGGGAGTTGAAGCCTCCTTCTCAAGCCGTGTGACTCCACGGCCTTCAGATTTAGCCACTCCAAAACCATGCCACCAGGGCACGGACAACAAGAGACTGACAAGAGCCAAACGACAGCTGGCTGTTATCTGCCTGTATTAGTTACCTGTTGTTGTTGCTGTGTGACAGACTGCCTGCCAGAAGCAGCTTGGGGAAGGAAGGGTTCGTCTTGGCCCACTGTGAGGTTATACTCTTATTATGGTGGGGAAGGCATGAATGCAGGAGCATGACACAGCTGGTCACATTGTGTCCACAGCCAGGAACCTCCGTTCCTGGGGCTGAGTGCCGACACTCAGCTCCATTTCTTGTTTTGGGGTGGTCTGAGACCCCAGCCTATGGAATGGTGCTGTCCATGGGGAGAAAAGCTCTCACAGAGCCAAGCCTGGCTCCTAGGTGCTTTCAGGCTCTGTGAGCTTGATAGGCAGTCAGAGCAAGCACCTCATTACCTGTCTTCTTTGGCCTCTGGGTGGGAATGTTTCATGACTCCAACTCCCCTGGGCTTGCTCCCATTGGAGGTTGAATAGCGGGCAGGAGTAGCAGTGAGACTGTAGTACAGCTCAGCTCCTGTGGGAGGCCTTTGGGCTCCTGCTCTGGTAGCTGGAATCCAGGCTCTTTGTAGAGTCTTTCAGGGTAGAAACAGCAGCCTCATGATAAAATTTAGCTGTGTGCTTTCCCATTAGAGTTCTGTCTTTGCTGAAGACTAGTGAAAACTGACCAGTGGCCTCTCTTTCTTTGTGGAGACATTGGACACCATTCCTCAGCAGGAGAGGTGGTCTCCCAAAGCGGACTTTCTTCATTACATCTGGCTGGCATCTGCTTAAGCTCCAGGGGGAGAGCAGGCAGGCATCTGGGCCTGGGACAGTGCTGTCTTTGTGGCCCTCCTCTGAAAGCTACTTTGGGGAGCTGATAGTGACCTTCATTGATCTAACTGACCGGACACAATAGGAGTCAGCGGAGATTGATTCCGGGGTCGGTGTCAGAAGCCACTGTATGTTCCCAACGATGGCTTCATGATCTTCATAGGAGAGAAAACAGCGGGCTGACCTCCTGGGGCACCTGACTGGAGAGCTGGAGCGCCTGCGACGGGCCCACGAGCGAGAGTTAGAGAGCGTGAGGCAGGAGCAGGACCAGCAGCTTGAGGACCTAAGGCGGCGGCACCGGGATCAAGTGAGAGCCCAGGGGATGGGGTGGTGCTTAGACACTTTCATTGCAGGGTGGGAAGCCTTGGGTGCTGATGCATGAATTGTGGGGCAGAGTCTCATACATACCTTCAGGGTTAGGAACCCACCCCGGCCATGCCTGTGCTTCAGGCCCTTTCTTTTCAGAGCCTCGAAGCAGACCTAGTATTTATGCCTTTGGGGTGGGCAGATTCATGTGTCCTTGTCCCATTGGGAATCAGCAAGATATGGCATGCTGTACACAGGAGGCCACGAGGACAGGCAAAGCGGAAGCAAGCCTGAGTCCAGCTTAGAGTTTGGGGTGTGGCGTGCTGGCTTCTGGATCTTCTTCCTGTCCCTCAGCTAACACCTTTCACCCTTTCTATACCCCTGCCTTTCTGCCAGGAGAGGAAATTACAAGATTTAGAGGTGGAACTTACAACCAGAACTAAAGATGTCAAGGCCAGACTGGCTCAGCTGGATGTCCAGGTGAGGGAGGGTGATGGCTAGGTCTACCGTACCCTGGGGAGGGGGTTTGAGCACAGAGGGCAGGCTCCACCTCAGTCTTGGGGTCTGCAGTCAGTCTGGTCTTCTCTCCCCTCAGGAAGAGAACATGCGGAAAGAGAAGCAGCTGCTCCTGGACCTGCAGAGACAGGCAGCTCTGGAGAAGGAGGTCTGTTTGCCTGCCCTTTCTCTCTCGATTGCCCCCTGCCATCTGTTCACCTGCCCTGGGGTTTTAAGACTGTGTAGGCCAATTTCATGGTACCCAGTGGACCTGACTTTCAAGCCTCAGGGAGTAGGGCTGTGGTGGAGACCCCAGATCCTGGAGACAGCGGTTTCGGTGGCTCTGGCTTCCAACTCCTGTCTTTCTGTTTTCTGTCTCCCACACCTCTAATGCTGCCTGCACCTCACCTTCTCCCCACTGGGTCTGCATGTGTCCTACTCTCCTCCTCTGCCCCAGGAAGCCACAGCCACCCGTCAGCACCTGGAAGAAGCAAAGAAGGAGCACACCCACCTGCTGGAGTCAAAGCGGCAGCTGCGAAGGGGCATTGATGACCTGCGTGTCCAGCGGGTGGAACTGGAGTCGAAGGTGGATCTGCTGCAGGCGCAGAGTCAGAGACTGCAGAAGCACGTGAGGTAGTGTGGGCCCCCAGCTCCCGGTGTCAGCCGCCTGTCCCCTCAATGGCCCCCTCCTTTCCGCTCTCTGCTGCTTTTGGGCACTAGCCCATCATGGACCTCTGAAAGGAGAAGAGGAAGGCCCAGCTTGGAACCCAGGCAGATGCAGCCAGCACATTTCTGCTGCGCTCTGTAGGGAATGGAGTGGCGAGCTATAAGAAATAGAGGACTCTGGGTTCTGGTGTTCACATCTTAGCCCCGCCCAGTGGGAGTGAGCATTAGTGTCTTGGCCTCACTGCCCTGCCTCCTGCTCCCTTCCTCACTACAGCAGCCTAGAGGCCGAAGTACAGAGGAAGCAGGACATCTTGAAAGAGCTGGCAGCTGAGAATAATGCTTCCCCATATTTGGAGCCAGGTCTTCACATTGAGGACCTGAGGAGATCCCTTGGCACAGTGAGCTAGGGGCCGAGGCCTGGGAGTGGTGGTGGGAGTTGTGGTGGGAGGCAGAAAAGTGGGGCATTTGGAGAGAATCCTGGCTTTGCTTTGTTTAGGATCTAGCCTCCTTTTCTCACTCCCCTTCTCTGCTCTCTCTGTCACTCAGATGGTCACTTATACGTAAAGAGCACCCAGGGGCTAGCAGGGCTGTTTCTTTAGCTGAGACCACAGGAGGGGCTTCAGGATCTCTTTAGCCTGCTGGACATTTGCTTTTGCTGCACTCAAGCCTTTTCCACTGTGTGCTTGCAGAACGAAACCCAAGAGGTGTCCTCATCTCTCTCCCAGAGCAAGGAGGAGATGGACCTGTCCATGGACAGGTGAGTTTCCCTAGCCCATCCTGTGCCATGAAAGCTGAGTGAGTGCTCACATCACAGCTCAGATGGACAGTGACCGTCAATGGTGCTTGGTTCAAGGCATGGTCCAGGGATGGAAGAATCTTCTCTACTGAGATCCCACAGTCTGTGACCTTTAACACAGCGTGCTAGGAGTGTCTAGCTATCTGAGTACGGGCCCCAGGCACGCTCCCTAGAGAGTCTGTAGCTATTGGCCCCACATGCCACACTCTTGATTATTTAACAGTGATATCTTTGGCTTCAGCCCGCAGCTCCTGCACATGCTCAGGTGGACGTGTGCAGGGGAGGTGGCCAGCCCCGTGGCTCAGTGAACTCTTCAGTTTTCTTTCCCTGCTTCTTGCTGCCCCACAGCATCCAGCACTTCCTCTCTGCTGAGGGTGTAGCTGTCCGTAGTGCTAAGGAGTTCCTGGTGCGCCAGACACGCTCCATACGGAGGCGACAGACAGCTCTGAAAGCCTCCCAGCAGCACTGGCGCCATGAGCTGGCTAGTTCCCAGGAGTTGGACGAAGACCTGTCAGGCACCAAGGTCCTGGAAAATGTGCGCAAGAACTTGGAGGTGAGGAGCCTCGAGGATGGCCTGCCAGCCTATCCTGAGAAGTCTGGGGAGCGGGTGCCAGCTTTCCTCAGCCTTCTGGGAACTATGAGATGGGCTACCTGGACCCCAAGGTCACTTGTCTTATCTTGACTGAACATCATGTGTACATGTCAATTATCTTATCTTCATATTAATCATCTTTAATGAGTGAGCTGTACAGGTTGAGGGTCCCTAACCCCAAATCAATTCAAAAGGTAAAGTCTACGCAGAAACCCACAAATTGAAAAACTACAAAAACCTCAAACATTTCTGAAGCCAAGCGGTTTGGGAATGGGACACTCACCTGTATTGCCATTGCCTTGTCCTAGGTGAGAGGGACCTAAAGCATTCTCTAAACCGAGTACTTCAAACCCAGTGCTCTTCTTTGCCACTCTAGTGGTACAGTGGGGACATGAAGATCTTGGAATACACTCACTGTAAAGTTGAGTAGCTCCCCTGGCTAGCTTCTCAGATGGTCTGATTTGCAATGAAAAGACAGAGTTGCCATCCTGACATGATGTGACAGATTTTTGTACCAGTCGAGGCCTCAACAGCATGGGCTCTCCTGGATCACGTCTGAACCCTTGAAGTTCTGATGGTGTCAGAACTGGGCAAGGGGCGCATGCCCCGCTGTCTTTACACCTAGCGTGTCGCAGCAGATAGCAAGAGGCTTGTAGACACAAGGTGGGCTCCCCCAGGGGTCGTCCATTCTACCCTTGGGCACCTTTGCTACCCTGCTCTACTCCTTTTGTTGGTGGCAGGGGTGGTGGTAGCAGCTAGTGCAGTGATGGTGACCGTTCTGTCAGCAGCTTGAGACTTAGCATGCAAGTTCCTCACCTAACACACGTTCCTGTTAGTTCTCAGGACCTGAGGGCAAGGTAGTGGCTCCCTCAGATGAGCAGCCGACTGACGGTTAAGGCATGTGTTCATGACCACGGAGCCAGCAAATATCAGAGCTGGGACTCTAGCATCTGAGCTAAAGCTGTTTTTCCTCCCTGGCCACAGGAGACCAGGCAGCTGGATGAGATGAAGTCAGCCATGCGAAAAGGCCATGGCCTATTGAAGAAGAAAGAAGAGAAACTGAACCAACTGGAATCTTCTCTACAGGAGGAGGTATCCTCCTGTGGCCACACGGCCTAGTGCGGCCCCTTTCTCCCTCCTCTCCTGGGATCCTTGCTTTCTTCAGGCTCCATTAGAGAACTGGATCTCTAGGCCCAGGCTCTTGGCTGTTGGCTAGCAGAGGCATTGGCTCTGTTGGAACAGCTGAGCAGTCTATATCTATGCTGACGGTTCAGGCCACCCTTAGAGCTTCTGCGGCTTGGTCACAGCATTCTTGGTGAATACCACAGAATTGGGCACAAGCTCAGTTCTTCCTGCATGGTGTCTAGAGAGGTGTGACCAAGTGTGACATCAGGGGTGTCTCTTCCTTCCTTGAGACTGTGTGCCATCTCCTCCCTGCCCCAAGTTTGGTTTGGGAGACTCAAATGGGGGGACTGCAAGGCTAATTTGAGGGGAGGATGATGGGGTTCCTCTGGTCCTGGGGGTCCCTATGGACTGTTTCACAGGCAGTTGGGTTCTCTTATGTTAGCTTCTCTACTGAATTAGACTCCATGATGTGCCTCTCCCGGGATGCCTATAGACCCCTGGACCCCAGAAGAATTCGCTCACCAGACCTCAGTCCTCACTTACCACGTGGCAGGTGGATTGAAAAAACATGGGAAAGGACAGTACTAATGGCCACTTCTACCTGTCAGGTGTCTGACGAGGACACTCTGAAAGGATCCTCTATCAAGAAGGTGACCTTTGATCTCAGTGACTTGGAAGACTTGAGCAGTGAGAGTTCTGAGTCCTGCTCCCTGCCTCACAGTGAGTGGTGGCACCCAGGGAAGCCGGGAGGGAGAGGTGCAGTTAGGGGAGACGGAGGGCTGGGGCTGTGGTCCTGTCCCCTGCCCCCAGCCCTGCACTGAGCCTATGTCTGGGTGAGGTTTGCCATCAGTATGGGCTCTGCACCATGGAGGGATGGAAGGGCCAAGGATCCCCAGTCTTTTCTCTCCAGGGCCTCCTGCTCTCAGTGGCTCTGGCCGGCAGTTGTGTCAAGGACCTTGTTCTTTTTATCCATGTCCTTGGGCCCCTTGTCTGGGACATAGAAGCCCTACCATCCGTCCTTTGTCCTCCCACAAGGACAAAGCCTGTTATCTGCAGGGGCAGGGAGAGGCAGTGGGAGGACGCTCAAGAGCCAGGACCCTTTTTCACCATCTGCCGCTTTCCTTTCAGTCAACCTGACCCCAAGCTCTGCTGACCCCAACAAGATTCATTTCCTGAGCAGTTCCCTTCAGCGAATCAGCAGTGAGCTAAACGGTGTGCTGAATGTGCTGGGGAGCCTCAACTCCCAGGCACCGCCGCAGGTCCTCAGCAGCCAGCCCCCGCCTCCGCCTCCGCTCCTCACCTCCTCACTTCGGTCCTCCAAGAACGTCCCTGGCCCTGCCTACTCCCCCCTGACCAAGCTCTCCTCCTTATCTTCTGTTTCACCCGCGTCTACTCAGTGGGCCTGGGACCCAGGACAGGGCGCCAAGCTTTCTTCCTCCTCTTCACAAACTGTGGATGATTTCCTGCTGGAGAAGTGGCGCAAGTATTTTCCTTGTAGGTCCCCACCTCCGAGTTGACCTGGTTTCCGGGTGGAGCCTTCCTGTCCCTATCCTCTGCCCTTACGTCCTCTCTCATAATCGCCCTTCCTCCTTCTTTTGCCTTCCCCTTCCCTCTGCCACCATCTTTGCTCCACTGGCTCTGTCTGTGGGGCCCTGGTGAAGGGAGACGTTGGCTGGCGGCTCTGCAGGGAGAGGCTCTGTGCTGGGATGTTGCACACTGAGCCTCCACTGTGGAGCTTTTATTATCAGCGCGGGAGCTTGGCAAAATCTAAAAAGTTATTGTCTTCCTGATAGCTGTCGTTAGTGCAGTACACTGTGGCATTTACACACACACACACACACACACACACACACACACACACACACACACACACACCTTCATTTAGTTAGCCATATTGTAGCTCTCTGAGGAAGTAATTATTTACCCCCATTTTATAGATGAGTAAGTTGAGACGTAGTGAGGGTTAGTAATAAGCTTCAGAATACCCTGTGAGTGAGTGAGTGAGTCAGTGAGTGAGTAAGTGAGTCTGACCCTATACTTAGGACCCCTCCACCCTGGCTTCTGCCTTGGGACCTCGTCTCCTTACTTTGGTGAGGAGCGTAAAGTCTTAAACGCAACCATTTGGGAAAGAATGTAAAACCAAAAGTCTTCTTTCTTCCCAGCCCAAACTGAAAATTAGATTTTTTTTTTTTTTTTACTTTAGAATCAAAGTAAATAGGGCAGTTCTGGTCTGTCACCTGCCTGTCACCTCCAGCACAGAAATGTTCCCCGCCATTGTTTGTTCTGGGGATGCCCTTTCCTGGGAATGCAGAGGTGCTGGTTGTGAGCATGGAGGTGACCTGCTGGGGCCGGCTTGGCTGACTGCTGCCCTTGAACCCCTCCTTCTTGCTGTTGCAGCTGGCATCCCACTGATCAGTGGCTGCGCTCCCCCACTGGAGAACAAGCTGGGCTACGTGTCTGTAAGGTAAGCAAGCCGTTGTGCTGGGTGCAGGCTCACAGTCAAGGTCTTCACTGTGCCTTCCTGGGCTGATGGCACCAGGGACAGGTGGGAACAAACCTACCTTAGGGTCCTGTTCAGTCCAGAATCTCCTACATCTTGCCTTTGTCTGAGAAATTCCACCAAAACAAATGACACATCAGATTCCTGCTGCTGAGGTTCAGTGGGTGCGGGGAGGGGTGTTCCCGACTAGCTCCACAGACGCTGCCTGTCGGGCCTGAGAAGAAACCTGCCCGTCTTACTGCTCCACTCACCCTAGACTCTGGCCTGTGTTTGCCATTAAGCTCTTTGTCTGACTCCTATGGCCCCTTCTTCTCCAGTACCTGCTGAGCAACATCTGGAGTGAGAGGGACAACCCATGGGGGAGGCAGACAGGCAATTATTTAGTTCTGGTATTCATCTCCTATTCATCTTATTCTCTGCCAGATACCCTGTTCTCCCCACCCCCAGCCCTAACTGTAAATCCCCTAACCGTCTCTGCTCTCTGGGCCAGCCTGAGAGATGATGCCCTAGAAGTGTCAGAGCGGACAGAAGGGTGCTTCTTGCCAATGAGATTGGTTGGGGATGGGCAGATGCAGAATGGTCCAGAGTAGGTTCTGCATCAAATGCTCAGAAATGGGTGGAGGGCAAGCCACCACCTCCCCTATGGGGGAAGTGATGGATGGTTGCCTTTCCAGAGGAGGACCTCTTTGTTGGAGGCCTAACAGAGGCGCTGGAGGCCCAGTGAGGGGACGAGGGAGGGGGCGCTTGGCTCTGCCACCCCTCCCCACCTCCTGCCTGTTCTTATTCTCCCTTTCCTAGTGAGCAGCTCCACCTCCTGCAGCGCTCCCATTCTCAAGTCCCCAAGATGGACAGTGTCAGCGTTCAGAGCATGATCGAGTCCAACAGGAAGTGGCTGGAACATTTCAAGAATGACCCCAAGGTGTATCCTTTTAGCTGGTCCCCGAGCTTTAGCCCCTGCCTGTTGTAGTAGCTGGAGGGCTGAGATCCACAGCAGGCCCCTGTGGTGTCTGAGGATCACCCCATCTGCCCTTTAGACCCTTTCTTAGCACCCACCTACACATGCTCGCTCAGCCATCCAGTCTTCCTTCACTTTGTGTCCAGACAGCTCTTCTCCTCGGCGCCCAAATCAACAGCCACCTCGAATGTACTGCAGCTGGGCCTGGATGAGAACAACAGACTGAACGTGTTTCACTACTGAGCCCTGGGGTGGGGGGATGGGCAGAGCCTCCTCCTCTACAGCAAGTGCCTGAGGAGGCACCAGCACTTTATCTCTCTCTGATCAAACATGTCCTCCATCCAGGACTTGGAGGGACCACGGGGTAGGTAGGTGGAAAGAAACCTCAAGGCTGTAAACAGCCACACGCGCACAACACACACACACACACTTTGACCATGGGTTGTCCTGAGAAGGATCATATGGACATCTGTGAGCTTCTGCCTCAAAATGTCTCCGAGATGTGACTGCTGAAGATTTCAGGGGTGTAGCCACCTTCAATTAAAGCAGCTGCCTGGGGAGAGAGGAGAGCGGGCCCTAGGGAACCTCCTTGGAGGTTGAGGGCGCTCCTTTATTCACATAGCCTCCTGCAACTTGGCTGCGCTGGGCCTGTGCCTCTTTCTGATACCTCAGTCCCAAAAGGACCACATCCATCCCTCTTTTTTTCTTTTTAAATGTCTTCTGTCTCAGGTTTGGGCTCAGCTGCCTGAGACCTGCTGGATGTTCAGACTCTTTCCCCTCAGCACTGTGCTTTCCTCAGGAGCACATCCTTCCCTCTAGAGAGCATCCTTCCCTCCCCTAGGATGCTCTCTAGAACTCTCCCTTGCCCTCAGGTCTCAAGCACCTATCTCTCCAGGAAGCCAAAAAGCCATAAAAAAACAAAAAACAAAAAACGATGGGGATGGTTCTGCTCCATCTTGATATTTCTCTTCTTTAACTTCCCAAGTATATCTGTGAGCCCCGTTTCCATCTGTCCTACCTGGGCCACCCCTGGCCCAGTCCAGAGTTTGGCGGTTGGGGCTGGCTAACGCCCGGCATCGGCGGGGGCCATCTTGGGCCAGGTGCTTCTGGCTCAAGCCCCAGAAGCCCCGATTCTCAGCGGGCTCTGCAGGAGCCAAAGGTGATATTCTCGGCATCTGTCTCCTTGTTTGAACAAAACACCCTCATTTTTCTTGTCTTGAGAAGCTGTGGGCTGCCTTTCCCCCTGCAACCCGCAGGGTCTCACCGCTTCATTGCTTATTTCTTCGCCGTGGAATAAGCCACTTAACAACCAGTTGGCTTTTCACCCTCTCCGTTATTTTTTTAGTCATCAGCCAACCACACACAGAAAAAGTCCATTTTCTTATTTGTTCCACTCTGTGTGCCTTGAGAACAGCTCATGTGATACGACCAACTCTGGTGACAATCTTGTGTTGTTTTCTTTGTTTTAATTTTGCATCTATTAAATCTCTGCAAGTCCGTTTTCTACGAGGTTGTCCTGTGAACCTGCTCATCTCTTTGGAGGCCATTGTGTCCTCTTTGGAGGGAAAGGGAGTTGGGGACAATGCCTGTTCATGGAGCACCTCCCTGGGTATTTAATTATCCCAACAGTATGGAGTTTAGTGCAGGTGTGGTCTGCTCCATTTTACGAGTGACACAAAAGCAGGGCTCAGAGACCTTTAGGTACCTGGGTCCCCTAGTAAAGTGTAGAGCCTTGCACGCCCTCCCCTTCCCCCGGAGCACCCTCAGCCCTCCCCTTGCCACCAGTCCTCAGGGAGCTCACATTCACTGTCTACCCCTTTCCTGATTTCCACTTGCTAGGCTGGAGACCCGCGGGGAACCAAAGACTGTGGGTTTCTTCTCCCCGCTGCAGACAAAGCCTCACCTGGCACCCCAGTCTTAAGCTGGCAAAGTTAAGTGTGTTTTTTCCTGCTCCCTTTCCTGCTCCTCTACATTCAGAGGTTTCCAGCAGGGGAATAGCTAGGAAGGAGAACCAACTCATGCACCGTGTTTCAAGCATCTGTATAGAAAAGCAATGGAAAACAAAATAACACCTCACTGTCCTATCCACTTCCTAGGAAGGAGGAAGAAAACGAGGGAGGCAATAAGCCAACACCTGTTGCATGCTTCCACGTGCTGTGGTTTTCTCCCGCTCTCAGTTGTAATCTTAACCTGAGGGTCTTTTAGCAATTGAGGAAGTTTGAGCTCAGAAAGGTCAAGGTCACAGAGCTGATAACTAGGATTTGAACTAGATCTATCTGTTCCTGAAAGTCAAATCCCATTGCCAACAGCTACCCCAGGGTCAATGGCTGTCTCCTCTAGACTCCGAGCACAGTTCCTGGCAGCTTGTTCTGAACACCTGGAATCCTGGAACTGGTGGTCTTCGGCTGGGATAGTAAAAGCTTCCTGGGCTAGGGTTTAGAAAGGGGATTTGGAGGCTGGGAGTGTAGTATTATGTAATTTACTTGCTTAGCGTGCATGTGGCTCTGAGATCAGTCTCCAGTATATCCAGAAAAAGGAGAGGGGTGCTGGTATTTGCCCGGGCATGGTGGCATGCCTATTTAATCTTAGCATGCAGGAGGCAGAGGTAGGTGGATCTCTTGAGTTTGAGACCAAGCCTGGTGTACAGAGTTTGGTTCAGGCCAGCCAGGGCTACATAGTAAGACCCTGCCTCTAAATAAATATATTTAATTTTAAAAATTAAACCAATTTATCCCTTTTCATCTCATGGAGTTTAGAATCTAGCTGGGAAGCTCAAATCCTAGACCCCTGGCGTCAGCTGAAAGGGATTTTGAGTCTGGGCTGCTGTAAAACAAACAATAACAACGCTGAAAGGTTGGGGTGCTGTTCAGTAGCGTAGAGTGTACCTAGTGTGCCTCAGTGGCGTGTCTCAGCTGGTCTTCGTAAATACCAGAATCCCAAAGTAGGCTCTACTGCCAACGAAGGAAAGAACTGTTAGCAGGCAGGCAAAGTGCTTCCATGCCCTAGGAGAGGCTTACAGCAGAAGGTGTAGCCCAGATTAGAGGTGTATCTTCCTGCCTCAAAAACTGGATCAAAAGCCCAGTGGCCGTGGTGGTGCACTCCTTTAATCCAGCGCAGAGGCAGGAGGATCTCTGAGTTGGAGGCCAGCCTAGTCTACAGAATGAGTTCCAGGACAGCTGAGCTACACAGAGAAACTCAGTCTCAAAAAGACAAAACTGAACAAACCAAAAAGTGGATCAAACGCAAGTGCCTTCCTATCTCCAAGAAATGGATCCACCCACTTTGAAAATCCTTCATGGGCATGCCCTTCATTTCTGGGCATGCCCTTCCATTTAATTTCACATGCAGTCAAGCTGACAACCAAGAATAGCCACCATCCCTTCCAAATACCATAAACTAGGATTGCAAACAGTACAGGGTATCCTCACAGGGTCAAGGTTCCAGCAGGATTTGATTTCTAAAGGTGAGGGACCTTCTGGTTTGTATGTGGTGCTTTCTAGCCACACTCTCACGGCGAGAGGGTGAAATGTGGTTCCTCAGGCTCCTAAGGCCTTAATTCCATTCAAGAGGGCTCCATCTTCATGTCTGGTCACTTTCCGAAGGTCCTATGTCTAATTGCCACATCAGCACACACATGTCGAGAAGTAGCATGCATTGCTTGAAGCTTATTCAGCCCACTCCTGCTTTACGGTGGAAGAAACAAGCCTAGGGAAGTTACCTGAGGCTTTGGGAGGAAACTAAAAAAAAAAAAAAATTACATTTATTTTGTATGTCTGTGAAGGTCAGAGGACAAATTGTAGGAGTTAATTCTCTTTTCTCATGTGGGACCTGGGGATTAAAGTCAGGAGCCATCTTGGCCCTGGAAGGAACTTTTTAGATGACAGTTATTTTTGAGTGGGCCCTATAGCCACATAGCTCAGATGGCACCAAAGCCATTCTGCCACGTCCTACGTAGTGCTCTTTGAAAATGCCAGATACTAGTAATTCCTTCTGGAAACTGCAAGCTTTTGTGAGAGGGCTGCTTCTGACTCCTCACCCCCGAGCCCCAACACACCGTTACCGCTAGGGAAAGTGTCTTTTCCAATACCAGGTCTGTTGATTTCCCGATGCCCTCCAGCAGTGCTCGCCTACCCTCTGCCTCTGGTTGTTCCCATGTGAAGCCAAGGGGTTAAGCACAGTGGAGAAGCTGCCGATGCCAAGCGTAGGATGAACAGGATAGGCTCCACACTGGCTCTGGGCAGACCACTGGCCACAGATGAGGCTGAGCACAAGGTGGCCTGGAGGAAGGGTCACTGCTATTCTTGTTGGGCAGCTGCTCAGTTTCCTCACTTTTCTTTTTGAAGTGACCATTTCACTTCCCCAGGCGCTGGCCTCTCAGCAGATGGAGGCCTGACTGAGGACAACCTGGGTGATTAAACCTGAGCTGGGACCATGCTACTGAAGTCAGGAAAGTCAGCTCAGCAGTAGGCCTCCTTGCTAGGAGCATTCCTGTGCCCCCAGCAGCCTATTCACCGAGGGATACTTTCTGTCTGTCAAGAAATGGGCTGGGGTGGGAGTGTGCCTGAGGCTGTGTTTGAAGCTGCCCCAGTTCTTTAACCCAGTTCAGGTTAAACCTGGGATTGGGCATGGTCAGCCTGCTTCGGAACTCTTGCTGTCTAGGTTAGAGCTGAGGGCACCAGAGGCACACTTGAGTATCTCTACTGAGGACTGATACATCCGCTCTTGGGAAATGGTAAGAATTAAAAGGAAAGGGAGGAGCCATCAAGATGGCTTAGAGAGTAAAAGCGCTTGCTGTACAAACCTGTCAGCCTGAGTTCAGTCCCTGGAACCCGTGTGAAGGTGGAATGAGAGAACTGACCTCACTGACTTGTCTTCTGACTGCCACACGTGGAAGGCACCCTAACCCCCACAACAGAAAAGAAAAATAAGGGAGTATGTGCCAATGGTTCCCACTATATCCTCTTGACACCTTCATTTTTCGTGTATGAATAGGCTTCACAGCTGTACGTAGCCATCACGTAAAGTGGCTGCCTGAATCACTTTTACACAAGCCCTCAGAATAGCACTCGGCAAGCAGCAAAGCTGGAGAGAACGCTCAGAGTCATCACTGCCCTTGCAGGGAAGTCGGGGACTTGGAGATTCTGTGCCTTTGCAGCAGAAGTCAGTTCTCCAGTCTAACTGTGTCTAACTCCCTGACTGCTTCACAGATCCTGCCCCTTCTTAGGCTCCTGCTACCTGGGACTGGGCAGGGTTCCACTACAGCCGTACCACACCGATCTACAACAAATACGTTCTGGGACAGGTAGCTCACTCTCCATTCTGCCCCATGATAACCAGATCCAGCAGGACTGGCTTGATGGTGGCCACCCCTTCGCCCCTTCTCTTCCTCCCTGTCTTCATGGCAACTTCCCTGACCCCATTCCTTGGGACTGGTGATCGTAACTGAGAACTGCTCCCAATAATCCTGCCTTTATGCCTATCACTAGGATTATGGACATGCTCTACCATGCCCAGCTGTTTCTGCCCATCTGTATCCTTGAGGGCAGGGAGAGAAGTACAGGGCCTTTGTGTTTCTGATGTCCAGCTCAGTATCACTTGAAGTGTTCAGGGTATTTGGTTCATGAATAAATGCCTGGAGGCTAGCAAGATGGCTCAGTTGGTAAAGACACTAGCTGCCAAGCCTGATCATCTGAGATCAATCCCCAGAACCTACATGGTAGAAAGAGAGAACCAATTCCTGCAAGTTGTTCTTTGACCTTTACATTATTAACACACACACACACACACACACACACACACACACACACACACAAATAAATGTTTGAAAACTTGTAAAAAACAAACAAACAAAAACACTTGGGCCAGGCATGGTGGTACATGCCTTTAGCCCTGGCACTTGGGAGGCAGAGGCAATATCTCTGAGTTCAAGTTCAAGCTTGACCTACAGAGTGAGTTCTAAGACATCCAGGGCTACACAGAGAAACCCTGTCATGAAAAACAAAACAAACCAGCCAAATCAAGTAAAACAATAACAACAAAACCAAACCACTTGGATATCATTTTGTTTGTTAAAAATACAGATGTTGGGGAATGGAGGATTATTTAAGGTTAAGACCATTTGCTGTTCTTGCAGAAGGTCCAGGTTTCAGAACCCACAAAGTAGCTCACACATAGGTTAACGACAGTCTCAGGAAATTTGATGTGCTCTTTTGGTCTCTGTGGGCACAAAGCATGAAGGTGATGGACACACAAACATGCATATACATTTAAAATATTATACAGATGTTCCTAGAAGTGTGGCTCAGTAGAAGAATGCTTGCTCAGTACTGTCAGAGAAACAAGACATGTCACCATGGATTTCACCAACAGTGCTCGTTAAGCCAGGTTAGGGGTGGTTCATGTCTGTAATCCTGGCACTCAGGATGTGGAAGGGGAGAAACACCACGAGATCAAGGCTAGTTTGGACTACATGTGAGGTCCAGGGTAGCCTGGGTTACAAAATGAGA